CGGTCAAAGCTGGTCAAAGTTTTGGTTAACTATAGTCAACGTCAGTCAACGGTGGTCAACAGTAAACGGCTCGGTCTAGGCGGCTCGGCTCGGCTCAGCTCAAACGGCTCGGCTCAGCTCAAACGGCTCGGCTCAAACGGCTCGGCTCAAACGGCTCCTCATGCTTCCAGACGAAGCCCATTCTCAGGTGGTGGCGCGTGCGGCGCGTGAACAATAACCCAATGTCGGAAAATTCTCGGAAAAATTCCTAAAAATTATTTTGAGCGATATCGAGATACTTACAAAGCTCGGTTCACAATTTTGAACGGCGGAGAGCTCGATTTCAACAAATCGGGAAGTTTGACCGATTCACCTCCCAACGCGCCGCCGCCGCCGGAGAAAAAGGAGAACACCGGTGGACTCGGAACGACACAAGGAACACGATGGTGCGGGAGGTGTCGTAAACGGATGACCCGATCGTCGTGAATCGATGAAAAACCAACTAAAACCGAGTTATTACCGACGATACTTTCGACTGAAATTCACGACGAACGGCGATGATTCACGACGAAAGGTTTGAGGGGTTTTGTTCCTCGGTTGACAACGAACACGATGGTTGTTTCGGCTCGTCGTTTGGAGGTCGGACGGCGAGTAGATCGGAGTTGGAAGTTGGGTTGATGGAGAAGGGAAATCTGGAAAATTTCTGCTGCCTGCGCACGAGAATCAGATTTATAATTCAACATATTAAAAAAATGGTTAAATCATGGGTTTAGCCACTGAACTTTCTGCACTTCTGAAAACGGTTTGCCAACTTTAGAACTTTACAATTTAATCCCCTGTTTCTTTCAAAATACCAAATTAAATCCACCAATTTATATTTTCTTAAATTTAGCCCCTAAATTGGGGTGTTACATTTATAATGCAGCAGAGTGATATACTCTTCAATTGTGGGCACCACGTCTTCTGGATTGAATGTGACACATAGTCACTTTGTAGACTGTCCTCTGCATTTTCATCTGTATTACAACCCCTTTGTCCATTAATGCAGATTATTCATGTTTAACAAACACGTTTTTTGCGGATCAACACCTCTTTTAAATGATGCGAATGAATATAATAAAATAAAATAAAATAAAATAAAACAAAAAAATGAAAAGAGTTAGTGAGGTGAAAATAGTAAAAAATAATCATGAAAATAAATGTCTTACCCCACATGATATCTACCCCACAAGCTTATTATTCCTACCCGGACATGATCTCTATCCCGCATGCTAATTTCAAACAAATCCTAATCGCATATTTGTCTAGTTCGCATGCTTTGAACAGAAAGTAAAGCAGGAAACAAAGTAGCCTAGGGTTTGAAATGAGGCTTTGGGGTAGGCTCTAATTCCCTATAGTCTCCCGATTTAGGTTCTAAAAAAGGTACCCGAGTTCTCCTTGCTGGTGCCCCCTTGGGCCTGTCATACCCTTAGTCCTAAGCCCATTACAAGCTTGTGTGGACTAAGTTAAACTCGAGAGGACACATTCCCTTATGCCCATACGGAGAATAAATTCACACGAATACATAAGGTATATGAATCCCGAAGGTTACTTGCTAGGCCCATACGGAGAATAAATTCCCACGAAGGCGTCGCTTTCGCCCCCACTTAAAAGGGTTCGGAGCTCGGGTATAGAGCTAGAGATGACAATTTTGAAAAATATCTGAAATCATTAAAAAACGTTAGTACAACTATTTATTTGAAAAAATAATCAAAGATAAATAATAAGAATCGAATAAATAAATTAAAATTTAAACTTGTAATTTTCGCTAAAAAAGACAACCAGAAATTAATTTCGGCCTGACTCACTTACCTGTCCCCAGCGGAGTCGCCAAGCTGTCGGAACCGTCTTTCGGTTGGGCCCGGAATTGGGCTTCGACTTGAATTGATTGGGTTGGAGTCGCCACCGACCATTTTAAAAATATTTAGGTAGGTCGGACACCATCTTACATGATCTGCGTTTTACCAGAAATATATCGGGTCCGGGAGTCGGTTACGGTCAAGGAATGATTAGCACCCTTGAACCGCCCTTTCGGTACCAATTAATTTGTCGGTTGTCTTAATTACGAAAATTAAAAATTAAAAATAAAATTTAAAAAGTTCGATTCAAATTAATTACCTTTGATTGATTGAAAATATCCCTAAAAAGTCAAAAATGTTAAATAAAGAATAATAAATAAATATTAAATAAATGAAAAGAAGGAAAAGAAAAAAAATACTAAAATAAGAAAATAAAGAAAATAAAGACATTAAATAAATCAAAAGAAAAAAAATGAAATAAAAAGTAATAAACTAAATGAAATAAATATAAAAAAGGAACCCATAGATGAAGGACCATATGTTGAATTTATCAAAAGTTCAAAAGCATTGTTTTTTTTGTTTGATCTCACGCATGCAGGAGCCTTTTCTAAGGCATTTGCAATTTAATTTAAAACAAACTTTCCCTGTTAGTGCTAGCAACCAAGCAACCTTCAGTGGTAGCCATGGGAACCGAGAACTCTCCTCCATTAAGCAACAACAGCCCAACAATTCCCTCGGAAATCTGCACGTACTCAATCGGCATCTCACAATGGAAACCCAAAATCGACTTGTAATCGAACCCCTCCAAGGGCAATCCAGACAATGACTTGCCCATTAATCTCTGTAACGACTCACGCCTAATTGCAACTGCTCTCTTGCAATCACCTAATTCCGATTCCAACGAATACGAAGGAATTGTTCCCGCCACAACAGATTTAATTATCTCCTCGTCTTCCTCCGTTAAATCTGTCAAAGGCTTTTCATCGAACAATTTCTGGACAGCTAATGTAGAGAGCTATAGATGAGTATTCGATTATGTCGATTCGATCATCATCAAGCCTTGCATAGTTAAATCCTAGAAGATAATCAACTTGTTCTAATTGATATTGCAGGGTCATGGAGAAGGAAATTAGTAAAGCCTAAATCTCAACTCCATAAGTGGTTCTCAGTATTGGAGAAATAGCAGTAATTTGAACTGAACATTACCTTTCTTTTTTAATCAAATCAGAAATTGATAAACATAGATGCAATGATAACATCATATAATTATTGTAAGATAAGTACTCCAAATCATCCGAACAAACCCGTGAAGAAATTCAAACAAAAGATTATTGAAAAATAAAATAAGAAGTAGGCCAAATACAACAGATCTAAAGTTCACATCACTTATCTCAATAGCGATTCTTAAGCTCCTCGAGTTGCTGGTTTAACTGCACGATTTTAACAAGAAAGCTAGTAACAGAGAAAAGGATCCAGTACAGAATAAGGGCAGCGACGATGAGGAATGCGTGGCATTGGCTTAGATAACGTCTTTGGTCAGTCCGCTAATTCGATTGCTGGTTCAAACCGGTGGCTCCTTAGTTTTCAGCAAGCAGTGATGGACATAATCCAGGTTCCAAGGATCCCAAAGTCGAGCCATCTATCAATCTTCTCTCCGTTGATGTTTTTATTGCTGAAACTGTTGACGTTGAGACTCTAAAAAACGCTGATTGGAAGTGGAAAACATGTAGCGTTGGTGGTGGAATCGGGTTGAAGAAAAATGTTCTTTAGTTCAATATAAGATCAATGAAACCAAAATGCAGCTCGAATGGATCCCAGTATTGTTGTTGATGATCAGTTTGACCTCCTCGCTCTCTGTCATGGACATATCACCTTATAAGCACATCCTTTGCTTTGGCTTCCCCCCTTCCCAGATGTGAGTTGAGGAGATAATGGGTGGTTATGGATGTTGTAGGAGTAGTGGAGGTTGTTGAGTAGTTAGAAATGGGCCTTGCAAAAAAATAAAAGAAATAATAATAATAATAATAAAATAAATAAATAAATAAATAAATAAATAATACAATAAAAATATAAATATAAAACCCGGTCAAAAACGGGTGTCTACAACTATATTATCTCTGGTTCTAATCGATAAAAATATATCCATTTCATTCCTTTTTTTCTTATATCACTAATATACTCCTAATTAATTTTCAAGTAATGACCCACTTTTATACGTACATATAAAAAAAGTTTGGAAATTCATTTTAAAAAAAAAAGACATGGAGAGAAAAAGTAAGCCCAAATCCAAAAATCCTCAAATCTTAACTTTAACTTGTCGTCGTTGTTCTTTTCGATCACAACTACTACTATCGACGTAGTTCATGTTATCCTCCTAGTCATCGCCGCCATAATTGTCGTCGATTGGTTGTCAGAATTGCATGAGATCACTATTTTCATCCTAAGGTCCACGAGGTATAAAGCGTTGATTCGTCACCGATCGACCATCGATATGTCACGATTTCATAGGAGTTATGGTCGCGGGGGAGGTGAGGTCGAGTGGAGCTTCGTCAACAGCAAAGGGCGATAATCGATATGAGTTTAGGGTTTGAAATGAAAGTTTTCAAAAAAATTTGGTTATTTCGATTTTCTTGTTTTTTTAATATATTTTTAAATATATTTGTTAATTTTTAAATAAAATATTTAAAATTATCAGAATATAACACATGTTATTTAACGGAAAAAATTAACGCCGTTAACGATCCGAGTACCTAAAGTGATAATACTTGTTAGGCACTGAGACCATTTAAAAAATTAGTTTAAACACCTATTCATAAAAGGCGCTATAATTTCAACACTTATTTTATAATTAAACCTATTATTTAGGGTTTTCTCTTCCCTCTTTCTGCTTTAATTGCCGCCAATGAAATTTCCGACCCTCTCAGTATGCTGTTGGATTCAGTTTAGGATTTTTTTTCATGTCTTTAGGACATAGTTGTTTTCCAATTACCCATTTGTTCCAGTCACGAAAGTTTATATTTGATATAAAAAAATAGAACTGGTAAAGAATCTAATTAGCTTCCTTAGTTTTAACGAAACGGGCCTGCCAATGCCTATTGGTTAATGCGTTGTCTACACGTAGTTTCTATTTGAAACAGTTTCCATCCATCGTCAGTAGTGGAGGAATGAAGCCTGACAATAGAATTATATATCTGATTCTAATCTAACATTAACCTCAGTCCAGTGCTCACCGACCCACTCAAACATAAATGTCATGACCCAAAACTCTCGAACAAATATCTCTAATAATGACTTCAGCTCCAAAAAGAAGGTAACATCATCATACTGAAGAATCAAGTGCCACTGAGTTCGTTTGCTTCTTCAGCTTTCAATCTTCAAATGATATGACCTCTTCTGACACATCCAACACTTCCTCTACTTCAACTTCTTTGGCCTCGTATTCTTCTTCTTCACCGCTGGCTTCTCCATCCCTCAACTTCTGCCTCTCCAGTTGTTCCTCCTCGTGTGCCCGCCTCCATACCTCAACCCATTTTTCCCATTCCTCCTTCAGCATCCTTCTCTTCTCACGATCTTGCTCGCTCAATAGCATCGATACATCTTGGTCCTCTGCCTCGTATTTCTTGCTGTACTTCTTCAAGTTCTTTGCAATCTCTTCTTCCTTCTCGGGAGTCAAGAATGATGGCGGCCTTGGGCGCCACAGGAACTGCAATAAAATATGACGAAGAACAAACATCCAGCAAGCACTCGGATCATGAACAAGCACAAGCAATTAAAATGAACAAGCTAACTGCAACAAGAACAATTCATTTACCTGGAAGAAATGATCCTTCAGTATCCGGTAAAGTAGCTTGCCATTGAAGGACCATATGTTGAAACCATTCTCCATTTCATGAACTGAAGTCACTGAAGTGGCAACATACCTGCATATACAGAGAACATGCTAGAATACAAAATGCAAACAACCGTTCTATTGAAGGGTGTAAAATGTAAATTCAATATAGATGTAAAAGCATCTCAGTACAATTAAACACAAAAATGAAGGGCATAAAATGTAAATTCAGTATAGATGTCATCAAATTGTTAGTGGCATTACCTTCCAGTGGGATCCCATTCAACATCTGTTGCCATAAAATGTTCAGCAGTCGCCATGGTTTCAAGCTCATCAACGTTGAAGAATTCCAATTGACCATTGAAACCCTTCAATCCAGCAAGTACTATGAAGCGGCCACCAGGTGACCAGAATAAAGCATTTGCCTGCTTGCCTTTTAGAGTAGTGAGCTTTGAAACACGGCCTAAATTGTGAGTGCTTCGCATTGTGTAAAAGCTAATATCAGGCCTTGGATTATCGCCATGTATAACAGCAAATCTGTGTCCCTTGGGCTCCCAAGCGAAGGCAATAATCTTGTCATTTTTATTATCAAGTTCCAAAACTTCAATTGGTATGTCCCTTTCTCTGATGCGGAAGAGCTCAAACCCAGTGTACGTGCTTTTCTTTGTTTTTGTATAACGATCAGCCTTCACAGCAAGATACTCACCATTGCTTTGCCAGTACATTTTGCAATCACTAATGCTGAAAAGATTCTTCTGCCTCAATTCCTCTTTTCCAGGTATTTGAACTAGACTCACCTGAGAAATACAAGCACACGTCATATTAGATAACATCAAAACTTCAAAATAGAATGGAGCCTCTAAGTGGAGCAAAAGTGCTGACCCTAGCAGGTTGGTTTCCACCACCAAGTTCAGGAACAAAAAGTGCAATGATGGGATCAGTTGGTGACCAACTGAAATCCACAACATTCTCAACCTTCAAAGATTTCTTGTCAATAAGGCTAAAGGTCTCTGTTTCATAAACAGATATCATATTCTTCCCAAGTTTGGCAAAGTACTTGTCCTCCTTTCCACCTCCCCACCTGGAACATTAAATTTGTAGTTAGATAATAGGAAAAATAAGGTGAAAGGAGAGGGTTGATACATATACATATAAACAGATGATTACATGAAGGAACATAAGGAAGAATCACCTGAAAATAGGCCAAGAAACACCAGCAACACCACCAGCACCTCCAATTGCAAATTCGTCTGCACTTCCCTTAAAATCTCTCATCACTTTTCCAGTTCTCACGTCAAAAATATTTATCACAACCCTCTAAATAAATTAAGGCTATATCAGAAGTGACATCAGAATAGGAGGAAAAAATAAAAGTTTGTTCCGTAACCTCACATTTGCATCACGAGGATTGCTTGGTTCATGGCTGCTGTATGTCACCAAAAATTTCTCACCAGGAGAAAAATCAATAAGTTTAACCTGCATACATATAATATCATCTTAAAGATGAGGGTTATCAAAGTTTAGAGATGAAGTTAAGCAAATCTATTTCTCACTTGAGGATGGGCATAACGCATTAGACGGTTAAAGGTATTGGCACCTCCCCAAACTGCTGCTCCTTGCCTGTGAACTGTTGCCAAGTATGTACCCATGGGAGACCACTGAACAAAGCTCTCAGTCCAGTACTGTAAACAAAACCAGTTATGAACATTATATATAGTGCATTAACAATAGAATAATGACAACAACAACCAGCACATGTATACAACAAAAGCAATTGCTTAAACTAAATCTATCAATATTACTCAGTCAAAAACACCAGCAAGAATAATTAGCCAACATGCATAAAACACAGATAGATATAAAGAAAGTGTTTTACGAACTGGAAACCACTTACAGTGCGTTTGTAAACAAGCTCAGTTTTAGACTGCCTTGCATCATTCCATAGAACCTCGGTATCAGTGCCTGCACGAATCACAAATTGATCTCGTGCCTTCTCATCAGCAAGCCATTTTTGAAGATTTTCCTACAAAGTCAACAAAGTATTTAAGTAATAAAGACAAAGCACTCGGAAGCAACGGATAGAACAGAGGTGTTTGTGTCGTAAGAAGAGTTGAGATTTGAGTTTATCTCTGTGATAGTAAACTCATATATTCCTTAGAAACAAATATAATAGCAACAAAATCTACATAATACTATTCAAGGAAGAACCTGTGATTAACTTCTCTACAATCTTAATGCAAGTAAATTGATATACGAAAAAATTTAAATACTAAGCACTAACCCTGGCCTATGTCAAAGGAGAAATGCCTTTTACATATTCAAAAAGTTTAAAACCTTTTATACAAACTCCATAATCATGCATTATAAGCAGCTTGTCATCAATGTTTGCGCCAAAAAAATCGTGTATATATGAGAACACCACAAATAAACAATTGTACTCCCATCGGGAGTTTATAGCAATTGTGAAGAACACATAAATTAAATGCCTTTGCTACTAAAACAATGGAGAGAAACCATATTTAATAATATATATATGAATATTACCCCTGGTGTGTAGGGTTTAATCTCGGGTGGAGCCCATTCATCAGGAACTTTCATGTACTTGTCAAAATCATCGAACATGTTCACAGCAAATATATGAGCTCTATCCAACTTATACCCATGAGTCTTCTCCTTAGCAAGTTCAGCTTCCTAAATCCATAGCGAACAAAGAATAAACAATTCAGATTTCAAAAGATAAATTCATACAATAGTCAAAGCAATAGACAACGAACCTGAGGAGTATTATACTCTATAAAGCAGTAACCTAGGGTTTTCTTCGTCTCAGGATCTACGGGCATCCAGAGACCATCTTCCTTAATCACCCCGATCTGACTATAGATTTTTCGAAGAACACCTTCGAGTTTCTCAAACTTTTCACGAGGAACAACAGGAAGATTATCGACAACAATGACGTTTCCAAATCCGGAATCTAACTCTAATTGGTCATCATGGTAAACATCCTCGTCGTCACTGTCCAAAGCGGAAATTAGAAAAATAAGATAAAATAAAAACACACACAAATTCAGTGTAAAGCATTTAGAAAGAAATTAGGTGCAGCACCTGATGATGCCAAAGTTTTCACCGGGAGGAAGTTGGATGGAGCTGAAATCTATGTTCATATCGATGTCCATTTGTGCAGCCGTCGCTTCAATCTCGTTCATTAGCTTCACCTCGGCGGCCATGGTGAGCTGATGTTTGATCACTTGTCCGCTTTTTCTTTGGATTATCTGAATTTTTAGGGTTCCTAAATCCTTGCCGAGTTTGGGTTAAAAGAAATGAAAGAGAAGAGAAATGTTTGACGATCCATTGGACAGATCTATATAAGCAGAATTCTACATGGGCCTCGTTAGACTCGAAACCCTTATATTACTAGCGAAGACCGGCCAATTTTTTTTTTAGGTTAATTACTTCAAATACCACTTTCCTTTAAATTTAAATTCGTTTATGTCATTAACGTTTTAATTTTATTAATTTTAATATAAACGTTTAAATTTAACTACAATTATAACATTATATCGTTAACCCCTTTAACTCAAAACCCTTATATTACTAGCGAGGACCGGCCAATTTTTTTTTAGGTTAATTACTTCAAATATCACTCTCCTTTAAATTTAAATTCGTTTATGTCATTAACGTTTTAATTTTATTAATTTTAATACAAACATTTAAATTTAACTACAATTATAACATTATGTCGTTAACCCCTTTAACTACAATTATAACATTATGTCGTTAATAGGTTAACGACATGACATAGTATCTTTAGACTGTGACGTAATTTTATCACCAAAACGACATCATTTTGATACAATTTTATTAATACTCAAAAAGTCCAAAACTATGTAATTTTGCTTAAGAAAAACAAATGAAGGGTAAACTACTAAAACCGGTGAAACACCCATCTTATATCTTCTTCAACATATTTCTCTCTCATTCTTCTTCCTCTGCATCCTCATTGTTTCTCGTTTTTCCTTAATAGCCTATGGATTAATTCTAAAACATATTCAAAGTAGTGCCTCTATTCCGTTTGCACAATTGATTTATACAAAATGCTAAGAATTAGGTAATTAAGTTAAATAAAAAAACAAATCAAATGCATTTCTTCAAGATCCAGAAAGAAACCAGGCAAAAAAGAGAAAGTTGAAATTCGTTTTAAAACGAACCTGCTGGAAATAACGAAATACAAGTTGCCATGTTTCAAATTACATTCAGATTTGTTTTTAAATCAGTAATGATTTTTTTTCTTCTGCGGGCGTGCACGGTAAGCAACTTGTCCCGTTCTCCATCATGAAACCCGAATCTGGAATCGTCATGAACGATGAATCGCCACCCAAATATCAGCCAAATCTCCAATTCTATTCAAAGAGAAAAACCATAAAGAAAATGAATATTGGAGAGAACCCTAAATAGATCGGTAGAGGGGGTTGGGGGAGGAAATGAAGTGAACAAACCTAACTTAAAATACTGATACCAGCACAGATTGCTGTGAAAAAAAGCATGGTTTTTAGAACCGGACCGGTTAGCGAATCGGTCATGTTACCGATTTACTGATTCAATAATTTCGATCGATCGAAATAATCGGATGACATCATAATTATTTAAAAAATTAAATAAAAATATCAAAAATATTTAATAAAAAACAATTTTTTATATCACAAGTCATATTAAAAGCAAGTCATAACATATATAAGTTAAAAACAATAAAATCAAGTGAAACAAAATGATTCAAATTAACTACAACATAATATTTAAGGTAAAACATATTAAATAATAAATATAATTATATAACTATAATTAAAAAATAAATTTGGGGTTAAAAATCATAACAAAATGATATTGTTTGGTTTATTTTTTTTTATAAAACAATATCACATGGCTAAGAAACATAAAGAGCATCCCAAAAGTCTAAAGAGTAAAAATATGATAACAAAACAATCTCACATTCTAAGAAACATAGAAGCGCATCACAACTAACTTCTATAAATAATAGAGGTAATTTGACATTCAAAATCATGGAGCCTTTTGGTGAGCATTGAGTGAACTATTCTTTCACTTCAATAAAGCTCGAATTTTAGGCTTCAATCGAGCTTCTAATTTTTTTTTGAGTTCAAGCCTTTTTGAGTTCAAGTTTCAATATTATATTTCGAGTTTGAGTTGAACTTGATAATTTTTAGCTTGTGAGTTTGAGTGAGTTGAGCTTACTTTTAAAGTTTTCAAGTTCGAGTCGAGCTCAGCAATACTCGAGTTCGACTTGGCTCATTTAACAAACGACGTTGTTTGGTTTAATTTTAAAAAAAACAAAAAATCCGGTTTTTCCCGATTTTTTTCGGTTTTCAGCCGGTCCGGTTCGAACGGTTCAGTGGTTCTGGCCGGTTCACTAATAGCGGTTCAACCGGTTTAGATTAAACCGGACTAAGCAACGGTTTCCGGTTGAATCGGTCGGTCCGGTTTTCAAAACAGAGGAAAAAAGAGAGCGAGTGACACTGTTTTGAATATGTTTTAGAATTAGTCCCTAGGTTATTAAGGAAGAGCGAGAGACAATGGGTATGCAGAGGAAAAATAATAGGAGCGAGATATAACGATGAAAAATATATAACGCGGGTGATTTACTGGTTTTATAGTTTATCATTCATTTTTTTCTTAAGCGAAACTATGTAGTTTGAGACTTTGAGCTTTTTGAGTATTAAAATAATCGTGTCAAAATGAATTTGTTTTTATGAGAGAGCCACGTTAGCAACATCACGCCTCGGAGATGACATGTCATCGTTTCGTTAAGTCATTAACGATAGAGTGACATAATTGCAGTTAAATTTAAATGTTAATGTTAAAATTGATAAAATTAAAACATTAGTGGGCATAAACGAGTCAAAGCTTAAAGATGAGTGGTATTTGAAATAGTTAACCATTTTTAAAAAAAGTCCAAGCCCTTTTTATGTCCGGTCGTGAAAAACCGTTATTGTTGAGGTAATTTTAATACTGAGTTTTTATATAAATATTTTTTTGAGTATATAATGAATTTTTTACACTGAATAAGGGTCATCTATAAGGAAAGATCATCGTGACATACCAGATAAACTGGAAGAAATTCAGTTGCCTATTGATCAAAAGACCAATACAAGGTACATATTTTAATTTTTTTACTTACCTTTAATCCGTTGTTATATAATTAAAATATTAGTTTGATATAATTATATATATTTGTTTTAATTTGAATTGGTTCCTTATCCTAATGAAGAAATGAGGTGTTGTATCTTACTTCATTTGAGTTGCCCATTAGATATATGGGTGGCAGTGGTCCCTCTGATATTTTATGCTATTGTTGAGTGGCATCATATTGATCTCATGCTCCGCCAATTTGGTTTCTTATAATCTATTCCCGAAGCACTAGGAATCTCGACAATATGCATAACATCGATAGAGTGGTCAAAAAAGAAGTCAACTGGCTGATTAAGCACAACGAGTGGGTAATGATCTGGGAGGATCGATGTAACACCCCAACCCGACTCGAATACGAGTCCGATGTGTCACTTTGACTTTTCAAACTTTGACTATTAAAGAAAAATAGGGAAATTTAAAACTTTCATTAAAACGAAATACGTTAATTTACATAAAAGAGACCACAAAATATAAACTCGATCAGAGTACTCATAATTAACGACTTATTACATGCCAACACTCTATACACAACAAAATACATACTTTGTCGATTACTTCTTATCTGATCTTCTAGTAATAATATTGTCCTTGCTACTTCTATTCTTGCTATTCTCGTTTCTTGGTACCTATGTGTAAATCACTTACACGCTAAGTCATAGACTTAGTGAGGCAATAAATAAACATGTAACAGTAGATTCATGAATATGCATTATTACCATTTGATCATGATATTTCAATATGCATGTATATATTTCATATGACATATATAACCAAGTCATGCACACATGAAACTTACCTTTTTGCATCACTTTCACTTTAATTTATATTCCAATTGCCCATTTATATTGTTGTTGAGAACAAAGGTATGTGAGTACATTGAGGTTGTGCACTAATATTGTCACCACAGCTCGTATAAATTCCCTCATGGGCACCGAACATTTGTTCAATATTCGTCCCGAAGGACTGCTATATATGTCCCGTAAGACCACCACGTCCCGAAAGACTACATACCATCACTCTTGGCATGACAACTATACCTATAGCTCTCGTATCATATACTATGGGCATTTACGATGAATACATTTCTAATCACTTGTTCTTTCTTTCTGTCACATACCACATGTATGTGTAACCATGTATTTCATATCATATCACATAGCTTATCTCATTTCACATTGGTCATGTCTCATAGCATATATCACATATGCATATAATCATGTATATAATATCATATATCTTATGTTTTATGCTCTTATGTCTATCCATATCATGTAACATATATAATAACCTATACCCATTTCATGTATTCATGCACATATAAGAATCACAATCAAATAACATTTTAGGAGTCACTTCTTACCATAGTAACTCCATCACTAGCTCATCGCAAGCCAATGCTCGTTCAATAATATAAGTACAATTAAAATTGCACTCACCTTAGCCTTGTTTGCTTTGATTCGATCCTAATCTTTTGATTGTTCCGGAACTTGTTTAGACTCAATATCTACATAAATATAACATTTCAAAACAACTATCAGAAGCCTAAATCTTAAACTTGATGTTAACAACTTAAACCAAATTAAAGAACCAAATTCCATTTTTCATTTAGGGGGAATCGATACCCCCTGAACATACTGGAATTTTTCGTTCAAGAAGGGGAATCGATTCACATTCATAGAGTATCGGTTCCCTCTACCCAGAAATTGTATTTTAAGCCCGAAAATCATCAATTCTTCATTCAATTCTTCTATTTTAAACCCTTACCATGTCATTAAACTCAACTACTATTACTTAAACCAACTTATATCCATGAAAATCATCTATAACTTCAAAATCCTATCCTTCATATGTAATTAAAGAATCATACTCAAATTTCAATATGTTCTAAATACAATTTAACACTTCATATTCCTTAATTAACATGATGACAAGTCAAATTTAACTTCAAATTCAACTTATCAACTCTTTTCCATAATTTCATATAAAATCCCGTTTCCTTTAATCTTTTATAACTTCTTCATCTTTTGATCATAAAACAACTTATGCTTTCCTTAAGCTAAGTTATCATCTAATGATCAAAACCTAACCTTTAATTGAACAAATAATCCATAAATAAAGAAACTCTTACCTTTGCCTAGCTTCCACGGGAGAAGAAGAGAAGAAGATGAGAGAATTGTGATTCCACGTGGGTTTCCCTTATCTTATAAGGAAAATAAAAATCTTTCATGTCAAATGACCATTTTGCCCTTTAATTCTTTTCATAATTACTAACAAATTTCAGGAAATATTTACAAATAAATCATTGAACTATTCAACTATTCTATTTTTATCACCATTTCTGAAAATTTACGATTTAATCACTAACCCGTAGTTTGAGATGTTACAAATCTCCCCTCCTTTTAAGAAAATCCGTCCTCGAATTTTCATTGCACACATTGATAAAAACATATATTCTAATACTCTCATGTTGTTTCCTTTATTCACTCTTTCATTCCTTTAGTTATTCCACTAACTTTTTCCCTTATTCATTAATCTACTGTCGTTTATCATAAAACAATAATCTCATCATTTTCTTTATTTTCTCTCTTTCGATTCTGTATTTTCCTTTGATGTTTCTAAAATTCATATGATGTTACTCATCACGTAGACAGTAACATTCATTTTCATCACTTAACATCATAAATCAATCAAATTCCTTATAAATTCTTAATTACTTTGCAATAATAACCAAACTTTTATTCCATCATCGTTTGACCAAGAATATAACCTTACATCTTCTTCAATTGTGATTAAACATATATTTTATGAAATCAAACAATCTTTCATATTACCTTGCACATTTTTTTTACTTCTCCACCGAACTTATAATATACACTTCCATATAATCTTTATCATATCGGATCCTTGAAACTCATCTTTCTATAATAAGATCCCCTTATCCATAACTAAATCATATCATATCTTTCACCAGTGTTTTCATACTCTATTCATCTCATTATATTCATCTCTAATTACGATATTTATCACATCTTTATAACTTTGATAAGCATCTT